GCTGAAATAAAATTTTAGTTTTATTTCATTTTCGGCTCCTGTTCATTCGACGGGTTCGCGAAACAAGGGATAATACAAGTCTGGCCTAAAAAACTTTGACAAATTACTGAAAAATTCATTTTTGTTGAAAAAAAGTATTTAATTTCTTGAAATTCATTTTGGTTTAAAAAAAAGTATTTAATTTCAATGATTTGATGCAAACCATGAGATGAAAAATAAATTCATTGAATTTTATTTTCACTTTCAGTAGAAACGGCAGAAATTAGCAGTATTCTACAATACCTGGTATCAACATTTCTGAAGAATGAACTGAGCGGCTCATCAAAGACACCATGTTTATTCCTACTTGCATGTTCTCTTAGCGCCAAATCCCAGAATCTACATCCAATCTGAAGAAAACAAGGAGTGAACATTATTAAAGCGATAAAATTGCACAAGTTAGACTTCAATCCCCGTTCTCTCAAAGAAACCGACAAAACTCATCTGTTGAACTTTTTTCTTCATGAATACCATAAACCCAACAAATTGTGAGAATTCTCAGCAGTGAGAATTTTAAGTGGATTACAGTAGGGTATAATGAATAAGTGCATGGAACTCGCATAAAATGGGATTCTATCAAATACCACTGTACAGGAATATCTAAGTTGTGTACACTTATATTATGGGCTGTTATTGCACACAGAATTATGACAAACGGAAGAAAAAGATGTATAAAAAAAAAAAAAAAATACCACTAAGTCTGCACTATGACAGCACACGAGTGCATATGGTCAAGCATTGATTTATTTTGAGTTTTCATTCATTTTTTTTTTTATAGAACTGGCATTTACTGAAGACCAAGGTTTATTTAGTTCCTGTTTCTTACCTGATTTCCACACTGCCCAACTGAAACAGAAAAGAATAAACAAATATATATGAACAAAATAGCGATAACCACACCGGTTGACAAATGACTTTGACAAATTTTATTCGATCTCAACGATCTTTAAAACCTTTAACCATTCACTGTGTTTAAATTTCACTGATTTACCATTTCAGGCATATTCAGTGGGTTTTAAATTCACAGTTTTATCATTTAGATAGCGTGTTTTGTGCTCAATTTTACATATTTACTGGGTTTTAATTTAGCACATTCTCCAGTCAGTGAAATAAGCAAAATTAAAACCCAGTGAATAATCAACCCTTTTACAGTAGGTTCGTGTTTATTAAAATTGATATTGAAATGACAGTATATTTCTCAGAATCATATATTTTCTTCGTAATACATTTTATGTATATAATCCTGAGAAAAACTAGCACACACAATTTTGACAATATTTTTCGAGTAAGCACCATGCTTTAAATGAGACAAGAGGAATGCTGAGACGATGTTTTTTGTACTTGGCACTCATGTTATAGTAGTAGTTTCTATAGTTTGTCACAGTCATATATTGTATGCATGCAGTTGATAATTTAAGTGAGTTGGTTTGTATTGTTACAACACATGTTTATTTCAGTTCATCGTCTTACAGAGTCCTACCATTGAGAAGACCAAATCTCCTTTCCTTCCCTTCCCCCTCCCCAATATATGCATCGATCGATACTGCTTTTCTGCATACTTTACAGTAGCCTGATATGTAGGCGTGTGTAGCGCCCTCGCTGGCCGAACGGCATCAGATCTCGATAACGCCTAACAGAATAGTGTATGTCTCGTCGACAAGATCAATACTGCAAATCTGCAAAGTTCATGCCTTCTTGCAATGAGTTCAATTAATATTCATTTTGGTGGTCATGGTAACACTGTGGTAACATTGGGCGGTAATTTGCCAGCACCTTATCGCAAATTATGTCAACAAGTAAACTCTGCCGTGAATGGTTACTTTTTGATAGCTGTCACTATCTGACGTTCCTTCAATTTGATTGGTACCGACAGAAAATCGTTGAGGAAGTGAAAACCGATGCAATTCTGTCAGGCCTGTGTTGGGTCTGGAGCACCACAGAGGGCGTAACTCACACGATCTCATCAGACTAACTTTACAGCATTTGGAAAGACTTTCCATTGTACCCCCCCCCCCTAATCCTAGCTCCAACCATGCTCTAACCCAACACCTACCCTCTATTGCCCCTCATATCAATTGTATATGCCTCGCTTTAGGAAACCTGTTATCTAGGGGGGGGGGCTATATACGACTGAATACTAGTAAACAATTGGTAAACCTATCTTACTTCATTGTGTACATTGTTGTGCTTTACTTTGGATGAATTCTGTGGAACTCGGAACCACAGGCGCAGCGCTTGGAACCACGGTATTTTTCATGTTTTAGGTCAAAAACTTACATGTGCGAACAAGAATTTATTTCGAACGACTCACCTTGAACGACTATTGACTGTGTCATTTTTAGATATTGTTCATTTCTTTGTAAGTTTTTGAAACCACAATGTTATTACCGTAATAACAGCACTTTGGACACTTGTGGTATCAAACCAGTTCAACTTTGCCGGCCATGATGGAGTTGCCCACTTTCATAATATGAGAGGGGTAAAGTCAAAATAATATGTTTTTATATAGAAAGCTGTGTGACATACTACTATAAACAACTATTTCCTATGTCTAAATTTCAGAAATACAAAAGAAGAAATACAAAACTAACCGTCGTATGCAAATTACGAAAAAAATAACTTTGCAATGTAAAAATAGATTAACCCTACAATAATAATGGTATTGTCCATATAAGCTCACTAATAAAATGCACTGTAACTCAACTATCTTCGTCAGACAAACTACCAATCATAGACTTCGTTCTTACAACGTAGTCGATACGCGCATGCCCAGAAAGTCAAAATTCCTAATCATTTACTTCCGACTATCAAATCTTGAACGACATCGATAGTAACATTGGTATAGTACTGCGATGTTCCTGTACGATCAGTTTGTGGGAAGAGAAAGTTGATTTTTCCCGAAAATCAGAGAGTCAGGTCAATTTGTTACAACGCTGGCATTTCCATGGGAGTGTTTCAACGAATGTTGTCGTGGTAACGGTTGACAACTGTAAACCTGCTCGGAATCAGTCGCAAGTTTTTATCATGGTGTCTGTGACCTTGTATTGTTGATATGTAATTTTACCGGTACTCAAGTTTCTGATGGTCCATTTCTGATCTGTGTTGGTGTTTTCGCGCTGGCTGTCACAGAAATTCGGATCGTGAATGACTCTGTTTGTCTCACCGCCTCTGTTTATCTCACCGTTGTGAATTAAATCGACACTACCATGTCTGCGAAACGAGCACACAAGAAAAGTATACGAGTGAAAATAATAAGCATGGGTAATGCTGAAGTTGGCAAGGTAGGTCTTTGACGTTGAACTTGAAATAGTCCCGGAAATAAAACTTTATTGCACAGTAAACTTAAATAGACAATGTTGGCTTAGACTTATGATGGGGCTAAAAAGAAAAAGAGTCTAGAAACTTTATTATCTCTCCCCAATCAAAAACATTCAATTGAGTTACAATATTTTTTGTTAAAGAAGTTTTTTTAGATGATGACATTTTACTGAACAATGTTCTATCATAGACCTTAGATATATATATATATATATATATACACGTTTGTCTAAGGTCTCTGATAATATCAAGTTGCGTACAAATAATACAGCCATCCATCATGCACCAGCTCTCAATTTACTAATTTTACAAATTCTTGAATTTGGGAAATCTTGGTATAACACACAACTAAACGAAAAAATGTTATTAATTGCATTCATTTCATAACATAACTTTCCTAAAAACATAAATAAATGTTTGTGCTCATATACCAAGAATAAAGCGTACAGGAATTTGTCAACTTTCTTTTTTCATGTAGAAATTTGTCATAACTCATTCTTAAAATAAATTAGTTTTTTGAATAATACAATAATAATACAAAAGATGTGCTAAAATATGCTAAATTAAAACCACATGAACATGTATTGTTTTTTGTAAAAATTTGTAAACTTGGAACCCCTTGAATATGCTTGAAATACCAGGTTAGTAAAATTAAATAGCAGTGAAAATAAATGGTTTTATGGTAATTGAGTTTGAAAGAAATACTGTCCTGTCTTGAAACTTGACAGATCTATTCACGGAATTGAGCTATAAAGTTCAATTCATTTACCAGTATACACTTACACTCATGATACAGAATCATTACAGTTCATCGACTAACCTCAGAGCTAATTATAATCCGCAGTGCTATATGAGCAGTCATGTGACTTGTTCTATGTATCATTTGAGCTACATCAAAAACAACATGGCCATATCTAAGTTACTTTTTACATGTACATGTATATCACATATCCTGAATACAATTCTCCGTAAAACAATCACAACAAGTATAATGCCATGAAGTCTGATTCATTTTCCATTAGTGTTTCAGATTTAATTTCAGCTAAGATTTAGGGCCACTTCTGCTTGTCTGGATCAATGAATGTTTGCTGAACTGATATTGTTTACATTTCAAATTTGTGAATGAATATGAAGCCAACTTTTTTGTAGCAGTTTTGTTGTTTGCTTATCAAACTAATTAACGTTCAGAGATTATTATACATAAATTACACTGCATTGTATTGAAATGATCACAATTCCCATTCCATTTGATTATCACCATGACAACAGACTAGCTATTAGTTTTACAATGTACACTGTATTTGCAGTAATTCTTACTTGAGACTGTAAATGATATCTTTTCTTCATGCATGATGAGAATAAAATTGACATTAACTAGTTCCTGATATCGGAACTATTCAAGTATTAATCAGAAACTTTTCTGCTTCACCAAAAAATGACCAGATTACCGGGTACTGGTGTTCCCTATTTCACTAAAATTAGTGATTAGCTTTCTTATAGCGTACATGTTTTTGATGACATATTTTATCTGGTTGACCTTACATGACCTTGCCTCCACCAGATTGTTCATGTCAAAACATTGTACACATGGTTACCATGTGATGTGTACATTTACTTGTGTGGTATTACTGTTTGTTCATCATTAAAGCTGTATTTGATTCACCAGCACCTGCCAGTTCAGTGTTATTAAATGCAATGCAACTAGAAAGAAAAATCCAATTCATTGCCCTGAATTGTTGGCAAACCAAACACTGACAATCTTACAAGATTATATCAGTAACGAATAGGAGTAGGTAAATCATGACCAAAATTCGGTGAACAGTATTTTTCTCACTGGATGTAATAAGCAATCCTTGTCGTAAATGATAAGAAAAATTTCCCTAGATAAATGAGATGGGTAGAAGAGTCAGCTGCTATTTTTATTTAGAAGTCTGTGAGTTCTTCATAATGTGATATTGAAATATTGAAAAAAAAAAGTTACATGATTATGTACTTGATAATAATCTTCTCTATTTCAAATGGTCAACCTTAATTAATATATTTAATGAGAACATTTTGCTCACCCAACTTGTGCTGAGCTCTCCACTTATCCAACCTTCTATGGCTAAACAAAATATTGTAATAAATATTACACTAAATATGACATTACTTTCAGCTTGTGGTAAAAAAAAATGAAATTTTATGTGGAAAGGAACACACTAAAAATGGAATTATTTTCACAAAAAATACTAGCAAACACTCTCAAAATATGGAATAGTGAATATTTCTAGTACCGTAGCAGAATTATTTCAGTTACTGTGGAATACTTTATTTTTGCTGGAATTAATTTTCGCTGAAAAGACTTTCTGGGCATTTTGTATGGAATTTATTTTCACTGATTTTTTATGAGTTTAATGTAAAATATAGGAAAAAAAGTATATTCGCTGGATTTTATTTTTACGGAATCATCCCTTCAGCGAAAATAGCAAAAATAAATTCTAAGCAAAAATAGAGTATTCTACAGTATTCAGTTTACCGAGTCTCTAATCTTTCATTACATTTTGTATACTTACCATGCTGATCACATTAGCATTTGTTTTCATTTCACTAACTTTGAAAATGTCTTTAAAAATGTCATAAAATCTATTTGAAATCTTACATGACCATAGTGGCCTATCATACATGAAATTCCCTGTACTCCTATTTCAGCACTAACCTACTACTGTTATTGTAACATTGTGCTTTCTGCTTCAATTTACAGAGTTGTATTATAAAGAGGTA